TATAGACTGAAAACCTCAGTAGCTGCACTCAATTTATGGAAACCGTCCACCTTCCACCCTGCCCAGAATAAAGCAATGTCTCCTCTCTAAACATACTCCGTGTGTTTCGGGAGTTACTTTCTGATCAATAGCAATAAGGGTTACACGCTGGCTTAAAAATCCTTTAGTGAACGACAGCTGCTGTGAATCACTTTTGTATTTAGTTGGGCTAAAGAGCTAAGTGTGGCAATGCATTGCTTTAATCCGCGCGCGTAGGTTAGATTAAAACCCAACTTCGCGCCAAACTCCCCTCCATTTTCCTGTGGGGAAAGACAGGCGCTTCGCGCGGCAGCGCTGCGCACGGCCCATCGCAGTGCGTGCCGCAGGGCGAGCCCTGTCCCGACGTTTGCACACGGCCCCTTGCCGTGCGGAGGAGGTGGGGCGAGCAGAGGCCGCGCTCGCCAGTGCCAGAGGGTGAGCGGCCAGGCAGGCTTGTGTCTGTGCGGTAGTGTTGTTCTCGGGCTTGAGGGTTGTGTCTGGTTCCTCACCTTCTGTGGTGTTTTGGCCCTGCCCCTGCTGTTCTTGCCTTTTGTCTCAGTTTGTGGGTGGCCTTTATACCTTGAGGAGGCAGGTTCTCATTTTCTAGGGGTGATAGTGCTGGGAAGGGGCTCCTCTGTTTCTGCATTTCTCTCAAAAGTGCTGAGCTCAGCCATGTACTGAGATCAAGTGGGTTTGTGGAGGCTCAGCTGAGGGGCAGCTCAGTTCCTGCGTGGTCCAGTGCCGACCTCCTGCTTAGGAAAGGAATTTTCCATGTCCTTAGGCATGGATGCAGTTCATTTTTACAGATGGTGGGGAAAGCTTGTCTTGTGGAGTCAGGCACACTGTGCTGAGGGTTGAAGGCTTAATGAAAACATGGCTCAACAAAAAGAATAGCTGGAGAGGGGTCTCTTTCTCCAATACTCACTTAAATTACAGAGAAAAACCAACCCAAGTTTGGAGGTGTTAAGGTGATGGCTCAGCTTTGGCTGGAGGTGACTTAAATGTGGGGAACCTCTTAGGGTCCTTTGAAAATCTGTTAGGCTGGGTGCTAGTTAGTGCTTCAGAGCATTGCTTTCAAAGGCTCATGTTTCATATAAATAGGCACACAATATTCTAAGTGGCACATACTGCAACCTTGGGGAAGGCCTGTGCTGGTGGTGATTAGGTGAACAATCCTGCTCTGTTTCCTTTAAATTATGGGGTTTGTTTGAACTGATACAGATTAATTGTGCAGGAAGTGTTTGTAGGTTCAGGTACTGACTTGTTAAAGCTGAATAGCTACAGTCTGGGCTCACATGCACTTGTGAATGGTGGTCATACATGTGTTAATACAGATGTTTTATTAACAGACAGAAGAGTATCTGCAAAATGGCAACTGCTCAGAAGCAAAGGAATTGTGTGGTATGATTTTCTTGTGTGTTTCAGCACAGTATATTATTTGAATTGGAAAAGTCAGTGGATTTTAACTGAAATAGTGCACCCAGCTGCTGTGTATTATTTATTCACTTGGAAATTACGGGCTAATTCAGTCTTTTAACTATGAATAAAGATGCTTAATAGCAAAATAGTTTGAGTCTGAACTCATGGTCATGCACTTGGTAGAAATCAGCAATGTCCTAAAAATACAGTTACACCAAGTGTTAGTAATATGCTTAACTTTATAAATGATGAAAATCATACTTTTCAATTAATTTAAAATGTTAAGCAGGCATTGTACCGGATTGTAGACTGTACAGGTTTCTTGTTGTGGACAGATATTAATTCTTTTCTTTAACTTTCAGAGTGCAGTTGTATTTCCTAACAAAATATCTACTGAACAGCAATCCCTGATGCTAGTGAAGAGGCTCCTGGCAGTAGCAGTATCCTGCATTACATATCTGAGAGGAATTTTTCCTGAAAGTGCCTATGGAACAAGATACATGGATGGTAACAGGCTGTTTTCATGATTCTTTGCAAAATCTGTTGTCATAGGGTTGTTAAGAAGTTACTGAGTGTTTTTAAAGCCACTTGGTCTTCTTAACTAAAGATAATAGCCATTTTCAATGATTGTAATGGAAACTTCACTAATACATTCATCGTTGAATTTTGTTAGATAGTGGTGATGCTAACTCATCAAAACTATGCCTGCACCTGTTGGTAATGTTAATTTTAGTCTGCTTTTGATATATACTTTTAGGGAATGAACTTCACTTTCTTAGCAATGTAGTTTCATTTTGTCCTAAGTAAATATGTATGCATATATTCTTTTTTTGAGATGTCTGTGTCAAAATTCTGAGGGAAGACAAGAACTGTCCTGGCTCTACTCAGCTGGTGAAATGGTATGTTAATTACAGTGCCTATACAACACTTCCATAGTGTGTCAGTTTTGAAAGATACCTTTCTGGCTGCTTGCAGATACAAAGAAAAAAGTTCACTTGCTGTGAGTGAACAACTGCTCAGGCAGTGCTTTTAGTGCATGGTATTTATTACGTTGACAATTTTTTTTTAAATGGAAAGTCAAAATGTGTGTGTTTTCAGTAGAGATGTAATTGACTTGTACAGTCATGTTTCTAGAAAGGCTTACAACTTGGTGCTTACTAAAGCACAAATCTTTGTTTACAGAATGATTATACTTTACGTTTAGTTTCTGTGGGTGTATATGTGTGCTCAAGGGTGCATGTAAATGCAGAAATCTAACCAGTAGTTCCTCTCTAGTTGAACAGGAGATGCAGTGTTACCATTTTGCATTTTGAATTTAAAGGTCTTGCTCTCAGACTTGTATAAGAAAGCAGTACTGTTGGCCTTTATATTCAAAGGCAGAGTTGTGTCTGGAAATGATAGTCTATCTGCTTGTACATTCACGCAGTTGAGTGTAAGTATGTCATTTGGGACTAGAGGTATTTATTTTGATTTTCTTTCTGCTCACAATAACTGTGAGATTTGTTCATGGCTGCTTTCCTTGTTGTTTAGAAAAGACTATATAAGACCTTTGCCTTATATACACATTCCTATTTTTTGTTGTCTCTATAAAAGTAATCTTTGTTCTTTTCACACTTTTACCAGTTGTAGTACAAGGTAAGGCATTAGAAATGATGCTGCATTCAGGAGAGGGGGTTTGCAGCCACTGTCAGTGTTGAGGTGTTCAGAGATGTAGGTCTGAGTTCTGATGTTAAAGGTGAAATTAGTCATCCGCTCTTTGTCCACGTGCTGTCACTGAGAGAGAGGGGGTAAAAAGGCTTCCTTTACTGTTACCTGGAATTTCTTAATTGATCTTCTGTAGTAGAGGAAACTGAAGCGGTGCCAAGTGCATTCCACCTTACCCTCATGCATCAAACATTAGCAAGGGCAGTGGTCTGGCAGCCTGTGGATGCTGACAAGGAAAAGCTCTCTGGTTTTTGTGGAAAGGGTGTGTGCTACCTTTTTGGAGCTTACAGGTGAGTAGCCTTTCTTAACTCAGCATTGTGTACACACCAAAAACAATTTTTGCTTGTTGACTATATTCAAAAGAAATGTTAGGAAAAAATTAGGGTAAGTTTTGGTTCACTGTTTGACTGTTGTTTACATGTTATATAAAAAGCAAATTGCAACATCTAAATAAAGGCAGTAACACTCCTTTGTGCTTCAGAGATGATGGTGTTCAGCTGAAGCACTTATTTGTAAACTGATTAATGAATACATGTGTTAGAAGGTGTTTGAAAAGGGTAGGTGTACAACTGCATTATGTTTTTATTGATAAATTACTTACAGATTATATTTTTACTTATTCTGCAAAGAAGTTAGGATGATTTGGTGTTACAAAGATAGTCATCACTTGTATCACTACTAATAATACTTATTCCATTATTCTATCTTATTTATTGCTGTAACATAATATTAAGAAGGCTAAGCAAAAATTTCATTTTTGGGGGACTTTTATGTAGTCAGAAGCAAAGCAAATGGAAATTAGTAGTAGATGGACAATATGATTTGATTTTTGCAGGATGTTAGGATGCTATGATGCCTTGCAGAAGAAATACGTAAGTCTTCCAATACAATTTAGCTATTTTAAATGTATTGAATTATTCATTTATATAAGTCCATTGGCTGCCAGTGTAATTATAGGATTTGGGAATGGCTGTGCTTTAATATGTTAAAACAGTTAGCTACAATGTGGGATGCACAGACACTTCAGGATAATATTCTTTGTAAACAAAAATACTTAAAGTCAGGGATACGTAGGCATTTGCTTCTGCCAGTTGAGGAAGTCCTTTCTTAAACAGATAAAGAGTTAAGCGTATGAAGAGGTTTTTCTTGAAACAGGCCTTAGTTGTCTATATTGCTTTCCAGAGCTAGAGAAACAAAACAGTTTAGTAAGCAGAAATGGGCTATGGAATGCATTTAATGTTCTTTTTCTTTCTCTAATTATGTTTCTGACAGCTGAGAATGATTGTCCTGGCAGTAAGTATCTTTCAAAACTAAGGTACACATTTTTTAAGGTAGATGCTTAAAGATATGTACAGTTCTTACTCTGTTTCCTCTCTTTACTTTAAAAATACAGGTCTATACCAATCCAGAAGATCCTCAGGTAAATCTGCTAGAATATTTTACTGGTGTGAAGAGAGCAATGGGCTGGAGCTGGCTTCAACCCATGTATTCCTTCCCTGTGACTGGGGATGCCCCATGTCATGACCGTGTATACAAGCAAGAGTGTCACATTATAAAAAAAAAAAAAAAAATCTTAATATCTAATGTAAGAATCACTAGAGCTAATCAGAATTGCCACATAGTGAATTGCCTTTGAATATCTAGTGTCAGGTTATTCTCAGGCCAGTACAAGAAACCCAAAGTGTTGTTGCAGAGTTAAATGCCTGTAAAGATGCATCGTCCTAACTCTGTATAACAAATTTATGGAACTTCTTTGTGAAAAACGCGGTATGTTTTAACTGACCACTGGGTGTCACTATGTCTGTTACATGTGTGAAACATTTTTGTAGTGACTAAAATTTGAATGAGTATTTCATTCTGAAAACATAAGCTGATGTTTCAAAATATTTTATCATGGTGATTCCTGGAAAATAATGTAGATCATAATTTTTATTTGATGACAATTATATACATTAATACTGTTAATTGTTACAGCATTAGAAAGCTGTATTCAGTGCATGTAAGTGGATCAGACAGGAGTTGGGCTATCATTATTTTCTTTAAATGCAAGGTTAATAGATTACTAGACAGAAGCAGCAGCAGTAGTAGTTTGCTTGACAGCTGATAGTTTTAATAATTACTGGACTTGTTTGCAGACAGTTACAGAATGTTACCACTTCAAATTCAAGTACACCCACAATGGGCCACTGCTGGATTTCAGCAGGTACTGTCGCTGTGATTTTACTTTGCTCTGTAGTTTTACAGTCCATTTCCATACACCTGAATGTAAAAGCTTTGGATTTTATCTGTTTGGTGTTTCCTTTTTTAATTCTGGATCTTAAGACTAATTTTATCAACCTACGCTATTAGCTTAGACTTAAAATACAATGAATCGTTTTGTGAGATTATGGTCATATTTTTAAATATCCACTCAAAAGGTGATTCTTAGTGTCAGAGTCCAATACTCTCTGATCAGGTTTTTTAAGATATTCCATGAGTGGAGGGTGAAATGTTTCATATCAGATTTACTTATCTGAAGATACTTGATGTTACATGGGATTTCTCATTTAGCAGAGTTGATACAAAATACACTGAAAATGCAATACAAATGTAAGCTATGCTTATCAAAGCATAGCTATTGCAATACACAGTTCAATCATGATACCAATGTGATTCCCATTACTGGTCTCTATAATACATTCACGGTCATGACATGGGGCATCCCCAGTCACAGGGAAGGAATACATGGGTTGAAGCCAGCTCCAGCCCGTTGCTCTCTTCAGAGTTCTATTAGTTGTTTAGTTCTTATACTCTGGACTGAGCCACATATTCACTCCCCCCATACTGGTCTGGCTAACTCAAGCAGACATTCATGCACTTCTAATGAACTTGGGGAGAAACATGTACACCACCATTTGATCCACTCAACTGACATAGCTATTTATCTAAAATGAAGGCCATGGTCAGGTCCCCTGTGTGTTGAGATAAAGTCAGCTTTCTTTGCAACAGCTTTGATGGCCTGCGTTACTCCCTGAGCTTCATGGGCACATCACCCTTGCCCACCTCCACTGAGTCTTCTGTTGTAGGGGTTTATTGGTCAGTCACAGCTGCAAGGAAATGACTTATTTAAAGACAGTCAAAATGTAGCAAGTTCATACCTAACAAACTTCTCCCAGCTTTCTTCCTGCATAAAATGCTTTTTAAATTAAAAAAAAAAAAAAAGAAAAAAAAAGAAGAAAGGCTGCAGTCCTGCAGACCTAGGTCCCTTGGGCTGCATTTAGTTACTTACCTCTGAAAGAGGTTGTAAGTCGCGTAAAAAACACTGGTGGAAGGGAATGTGACTCTTGGCCACACCAGTTTTCCTTAGTGTATTAGCATAAATTCATGCCAGACTAATTTGGAAATATAAGGCATAAGCCTGCTTCTCTGACACCCTGCAGGGAAGGAGATAACCATCTGCAGAGGGGTGAGACATTTGAAACCATCACAGTTTAAGGGTATGATTCCAAAAGACAGGGTTACCCAATGAAATAACTCACAGTTGCTTGCCTTGCACTGGCTGTTCAGGTCCTCGGGTGCCACTCTAAGCTGTGTGGCTGTGAGGAGCAGGGGAGTAGAGGGGGGGCATTTTTAGTGGCAGTAAGGTAGGATTTGGGTCACCTGCTGGCAGAACAGGAGCATGGAAATGTCAGAATGCCAAGAGTCACTTAGACATGCATTTTTTTATCAGTAACCATTCTTGTCAAAGTCAATACTGTTACTTTTTTTATTTAAGGGAAAGCAAGTATGTAAGACTTCTCAGAACTGGGGCTTTGAAAAGTATCTACTTTTTTCTTTCTTTCCGATTGGGTGTTTTTTAGGCATTGTGTAATGTAAAATACAGTAGTTGGTCACAGCCGCTGAACCATAATGCTATCATGATGTCCCTGGCTCAGGATTTGATCTTCCAAGGGGCAGAGAACATGCAGGTCATTCAGTATTAGGAATTGCAGTGCATGTAATCTCAGACTTTAGGCAATAAATGTGATGTCTGCTTCTAACACTCATAGTCTGTTAAGCAGTCATCTGTCAATACTAGAAGCAGCTTACTCTGTATAAAAAAAAAAAAAAATCTGAATACTTTGTCTGTTTTTAGTAAGAATAAAAGGAATGATTCCACGATCACCTGTGCAGACACCAGGAAAGCAAGTGTCCTCCTCATTCGCAAGATTTATATTCTGATGCAAAACCTGAGTCCATTACCAAATGATGTTTTCCTGACTATGAAGCTGTTTTATTACGATGAAGGTAGTATTTCCATATTATCTAGATTTATCAACTGTGTTCAGACTTTGAAAACAATTCAACAAAATGTTTTAATGGATAGTCTCTATGGTTGCTGGGACCTGTTAAATGATGTTATTTTGCATGTCTCTGTTTCTCATGACAATTTCTAAAATCCAACGGGAATAGATTTGATCTTGTTATGGGAACACAATCTTGTCAGTGACTTCATTGGATCAAGGATTTCAGTGTGTTTTAAAAACAAATCAAGTGTTCCTGATTATGTTAGGATGTAACATGTTTGCCAGACTAGTTCTAGTTTAGGTGACTATTTAAAAGTCTAGCTCTGCTTTCAGAATGTATTATTGCTATATAATGAAAAATCAGAGCTTCTAGCTCATCTCTTTGCATGTATAAACTGTTTCAAATAGCGTTAATTGGGCTTTGCCTGTTGAGTAGGGGAAAAAGAACTTAATTTACTACAAGTTGAATATTGATTATTCCCCTCCCCCCACACAACTTTTTTTAAAGGGGAAAAGAGTCTTTTTGCTGCACAAGTTAAACTTAATTTTACAAGAATGTGTTTCAGTCTAACACATTTAATGAATTCTTTTCTGCAGTTACACCGTCTGATTACCAACCTCCTGGTTTTAAGGAGGGTGAATGTGAGGGGGTGATATTTGAGGGAGAGCCTATGTATCTGAATGTGGGTGAAGTGCCAACACCTTTTCATATGCTGAAAGTTAAAGTTACAACTGAAAAACAACGAATGGAAAATGTTGATAAAAGCATCCTAAAGCATAGAGAGACTAATGTGCCTCTCCACGTGCTCAGAGTGGACAGAGATGATCCAGAAGAAGAGAACCAGGACATGAATGTAAGAGCGCAAATGTTTTATGTAGCTTGTTGAAATTTTTTGCGATTTATAGTCTAGAAAAGGGCCATTGTTTTACTGCATGTCTTACTATAACATCAATAAAAAACTGTGTTTCCAGATATATTTAAGCAAGACAATATGTCTTCAATACATTTTCGCTTTAATTTTACTGCTCTAGTTAGCAATCTGTCATTCTTAAAGCAGTATTGAACAAGTGTATCCACATAATGTCTGGCAGCAGCAGCAGCAGCATTGTTAGTAGTCATGTCTCTGCGAGACTAGAGAGGAGCAGCAGGGTGAGAAGCAGAGGGGCAGCTTCATGCTGTGGGGACAGGTGCCATTTGTTCAGCTCCACGCACAGGACACAGGTGAAACCTCCCTGGAGCTGTCCCATACTAGTCCCAAGTGAGCTGCTGCAGCCAGGCAGTTTTGACTGGCAATAAATTTGCTGTGGAATCCTCTTGTATGGCAGTGCACATACAGCTAGTAATGCCACAGGTAAAGTTAAAACAAACCCAATTCTGTATTGGGATTTTTCCCTGGGGAAATTGGCCTAGAAAAAAGGACAAAGCGAAGCTTGCTGAAGGCACGAGTGCGTGACAGACTTGTGCATCCTCCTGCTGATGGTAGAGCGCCTGAGATGGCTCTTTGGACTGTGTTTGTGCAGGCTTCAGCAATTGGAGGCATAGATTTCTGGGGTCAGTTCAGGCTGGCAGCAAATACCTTTAGTCATGTTAGAAACTGCAAATATGTGTGCTGATCTATACTGTTCATAGGTGAGATGGAGGCAGAGCTTCAAGGCCTTTGGCTGCTTCCTTTCACAGCTTACTCTGGACCTGTCTGCCCTTTTCTCTTACTGCATACATGGAGCATTTTGATAATTGAGAGTGAACATTTTTAACTTTAGTTTTAATAGGTACAAGTTCTAGCAAAGCATTTTTGTTGGCATGAATCTTGGCAAACTGAGTTTCCTCAGTTAGCATTGGTAGGGAAGCCTGTAGATTATGAGATGGAAATAAACCCCTTGGCCCTCTAAATCTGCATCTGCCTCTGAATTGCTGTTTCACAGGCAATAGGAAGGTGGTAATTGATGCGCTGATAGTATTCTTTCAATATCAATTGTTACAATTTTAGTATTTTTTACAGATGTTTTTCTTGGTAGTTGAATTAAATATGCGCTTGCATTAATAACTAAATAATGCTGAGCTAGTTTGTACATTCCATGTCAGTTTCAATTATTTCAATACAGTTTGTTCCACTCAGAATCCATCTAAAGCTCTGGTCCTAAGCATCTGAGTACAAACCCTCTTCCTTATTTGTCTTCAGTAAGTGATAGACCTTTTTCTTAATCTAGGAAGGTCTTGTCTTGGATAATAAAGTAGAAGATAAGAATAATGTACGTATTTCAGAAACTCAAGGTAACGTTTACATATATTTTTCAAGTCTTCAGTTTGTGCCTCTTTTTCCTGATCTTTCTAAAACCAAAACTCAATTTTCTGACATAGACCCCTATATTAAAATTTACATTCTATTTTCTTCACATACATTGCTATGCTTTTATTTTCTAGTGTGGCTTTGTTCTGTGAAGCGTTTGGTTATCAAATGCACATTTGCATGTTTATGTTCTAAAAATCTGATCTTTCAATCCATTTTATCAGATAAGCTAAATTTAATGGGTCAAATATTTAGAAACTAATTTTGCTGTTTGATTTTTCTATTATTATTGTTGCTTTTGTTCTACTAACGTATTTAATTTCCACATAAAGCTTGCAGAGGTGTTTTGCTCTTGAGTTCATTATTGCAGATTTGAGAAGCAGAATTCTCTGTTCAAAAAGTGGTCCAGGTCTATTTTTCTTTAAATCGCAGCTGTTTGGACTATATCCTCACAGCTTCAGCCACTAAGTAAGTTTAGCAGAAATACAACTTTTAGCCACCTTTTTTCCTTAAGCTCTGACTGTGGTAGGACCATGGTCTGATTCTGCAATGTATACATGCTTCAATCTGTGTGGTTGTGGAGGAGTTGAGACTGTCGGGGCTTGTGTACACAGAAGAGTTTTTATGTTGCGATAGACTGAATGATACCCATGTAAAAATACCTATACATATGATGCATGTTCTTCTGTAAAAAGGAAGTTGTTCATTACTGTGGTGTGTTATTTCTGATAGAATCAGTAGCTTCATCTCAAAATATGTTTTGTTTTATGAATGACTGTATGATTATGTCTGTGCTGCTGGCTATTTTTGTGCCTTTTCTAGCTGCTTACTTTCACAGCTTACTCTGGACCTGTCTGCCCTTTTCTCTTACTGCATACATGGAGCATTTTGATAATTGAGAGTGAACATTTTTAACTTTAGTTTTAATAGGTACAAGTTCTAGCAAAGCATTTTTGTTGGCATGAATCTTGGCAAACTGAGTTTCCTCAAGTAAAACCCTAACACTGTAAAATCTGTCAATGTAAAGCGACACAAACAATGTGAGTAGCAGCAAAAAGCAAATTCCAGCTGGAAGCCTATCAGGCAGCACTTCTCAAAAAGGTACCAAAAACATTTACTTCTGTTTTACTTAAAAAAAAAAAAAAAAAATCATATGACAATTTCAATAAGCAATTGAACTGAGAGTTCTGCAGAGAGTACAAATAATTTTATGTTTTGGAAGCACTCTGAGGACTCTTAACACTGCAAGGCAAAGCTGCCTTCTCCCTTGTTATCAAATAAACAGTTATGCCCTTCCCACTATGCAGGACATTAGGAAGTACCTGCTTATCCTTTCTGATGAAAAACAGCAGCACCTCTCATCGGATTTTTCTTAGCCTTTATAAATAGATAGTTTCTGTGCTGTTTACTTACAATCATATAAGTGTCCTCCACTGTAAGCTCTGAATGCAGAAGTGCCAATAAAATAACTGCCCTGACTATACCATCCTGACTGCAGCTCCTACCAGAAATATGCCCTGGAAGCATTCCACTTTTTTTTTTTTTTAATCGGCGCTCCAAGATGTGGACCCAGACCATCTCCAATTCAAGACATGAGACAGCAAACTCTGTCCTCAGGGATCTCTGTGAGCAGAAGCTTCCCTTTAAGATTTTAGAGAAACTGGGAGGAAAAGCAGAAGAGGATTTATCTTCAGATTCCCCAAGATAGCCCAGGGGCTCCAAGATTGAACTTTGCTACCAAACGAACAGAAGAATGAATTGCTGCTTGTTGATCTGCTCATCTTGGAGATGCTATATAGGAAGCATCCAGACAATACTGGTACCCTTTTGCTGCACATAAAGCATTTCATACATACCAAAGAAAGATGAAAAGAGGAACTAAGTGCCCTTTTTGGGAGAAGATTAAGTAGAGATGATGTAGATGAGTATGCTCAGAAATGCTCTGATATGCTGATGTAAAATAGGATAGTTAAAGGAACACAGTTCTCAAGACTGTGAAGTAAAAAAACAAGCTTTATGACTAAAACTGGGGGTGGGGGGTGCAACCCTTTATTTGGATGAGAAGCCAATGTAAAATGCTTTTTTTTTTTTTCTGTAGCAGATGTAGAGGTTTCTGTGGAGCTAATGAATATATGGCACTCCTAGAAGTGCCCATTAGCGCTGCTGCTTGCTCTGTTCACTCTTCTTAATGCATTTCCCTAAAGTTGCATCTGCTTTGAAATACAACTCTGGTTCTGCAGACTTCAGAAACACCAATTTTCCATAAAAACTTCCAGACACATTGCTTTCCACATAACTATAAAAGCGGCAACTGTGTCAGCGCTGAGGCTTTTGGTCCTCCCAACCCAAACAAGACTAGCAGTTTGTTGGGGCTACCATGGTGTCTTGAGTGCTTGCGGAGGCAGCTGGACAAAGCAAGTTGAGGCTGTATTTTATATTTTTAGAATGGATTGGAGTGTCCTGTCATTCAAGCCCAACACTGAACAGGCTGCGCTGCATATTTAAATAGTGACATTAATGTTGGCTGTGTTTTTTCAGAAATAAAACATGCAACTTTGCAAAAACAGCTAACATTTCCATGCTGTTCAAAAATGATCATGGAAATGTGTAGGAAACGGTATGTGTAGATCAGCGTGCTTATCTTGACAATGCTAGTAGGCTGCAGAACTGGAATAACCACATAAAGCTGTATCTGGTGCTTTTAGAAATTCATGGAAGTTCCAAAACCACGCAAAAATGCAGTGAATTGCTTGTCTTGTGGAGTTGGTATCATGTTTTATTTGCAGGAACTACAAGACACAGGAAAATGCATTTGTCACCCTGAAATTCTTCAGTCATTTCCACAGCTTAACCACAGTCATCTTGAACCAGTTTATGCTTAAATCTGTATACTAGAAAAAAACAGTATGGATTAGAAACAACAGCAACAAAAAAAAAATCTCCAGAACTGACTGCTCATTCTTTGTGGCCTGTTCATGCAGCTGCAGGCAGTGACAAGAGAACTGTAGCTACAGGAACTGCAGCCAAAGTTGCTCAGTTGTGTGTGGTTGGGTTACAAATGGGAGCTGCCTGCTGGCAGTGGGTTCAGAATATGCAGAAGCTGTGCCAGAGTGGCCCCGCAGAGCCATTTGCCCATTCTGCAGTGCAAAATGAGCTCATGAGGCTTCTTACTTGGAAGCAAATCCCAATGTAGGTGAGCCTTTAGCAGTACAGTGTACATATGAGTTCAGGGATCAAGCCCACTCTTCCAAAGAGCCCTGTGTGTAAATCTGTACTACCTAGCATCTGCATCTCTTGCATGCCTGTCATAGGAAGTTGTGATAGGAAATCACTGAATTAAATATGTAAGAGAGTGTAATGCTTGGTGGCGTTAATGACTTGCTTGCACATAGAGAGTTAGAGCCCTTTTGAAGCACCTGTTCCCTGCAAGTGCATGTGTTCCTTGTGGCAAAACATCAGTGTTAAGAGGATGCTAGTGTGTTGTCAACAGTGCGCTTTATTATTTAACTCTTTTATAGAACCAAATTTAACATGTGAAGAAGATGAAGTTACAAAGGCTGGAGGGAACCAGAATCTATATGTTTCTAATCCGCAGGTATGAAAACTGCACTCTGTCTTAAACTTGTACTAAAGCTTTTGTGAAGCTTCTTCCCTACTTTGAGTGATTAATAGGTAATCTGCTAAAGGTTTATTTAACACAGTCAGTATTTTCAGTAATGAAATGCCTTTACATTTTACTTATTGGTGTTTTACAAAAACCAATATTTTAAAGCAATCAAAAGCAATAACAAAAGGCTGTTCCTCTGTGGTACAGTCTTCAAACCAAACAGATGGTCTGACTGTTATTAAGAGAAATGGAAACGTAATTTCCATGTTTATGAACTGCCATAACTAAACACTCTGCCTAATAGAAATTTCTCTGCTAATTCTGACAGACCAGAATTTGTTTAAAGGTTGATGAAAACTTAAAAGGCAGGTTTATTACTCAGACTTAAAACTCAGGCTATATTCCTTGCATATAGCAAAATGGTACAATTTAAATGTGGAGGACTACTTCAAACATAGGTCCGTAAGATTTCTTAAAATGGGATAGCCCTAGGTAACTGTGAGTGACTTACCGTATAAAAATAACTGATGCTTTCATCTGTCAGGGCTCTTTGACACATTCAGCTGTAAATAGTGCTGTTGACTTCAATGGGTATGTTCCTGTATTTAAATTTCAGCTCAGATGCTGTGGTGAGCAAAACCAGAGCTCTTTGCACGCTACGGCACTGAACCCTGCTCTAGCCTCTAATATATATTTTTTTACTGCTGTGTCCTGGTTTCAGCTGGGATAGAGTTAACTGTCTTCCTAGTAGCTGGTACAGTGCTATGTTTTGAGTTCAGTATGTGAAGAATGTTGATAACACTGATGTTTTCAGTCGTTGCTCAGTAGTGTTTAGACTATAGTCAAGGATTTTTCAGCTTCTCATGCCTAGCCAGGGCACCTGACCCAAACTGGCCAACAGTGTATTCCATACCATGGGACGTCCCATCTAGTTTAGGAACTGGGAAGTGGGGGGCAGGGATTTTGCCACTCGGGGACTAGCTGGGTGTCGGTCGGCGGGTGGTGAGCAATTGCCCTGCGCATCATTTGTACATTTCAATCCTTTTATTACTACTGTTGTCATTTTATTAGTGTTATCATTATCATTATTAGTTTCTTCTTTTCTGTTCTATTAAACCATTCTTATCTCAACCCAGGAGTTTTACTTCTTTTCCTGATTTTCTCCCCCATCCCACTGGATGGGGGGGAGTGAGTGAGTGGCTGCGTGGTGCTTAGTTGCTGGCTGGGGTTAAACCACGACATGCTGTTACAAGGCCACATCTATTTTGTGATTTTAGGTTGATCATTTGGCAAGCAGGACGTCTGACCTTAATGTCTCAGAGAGCAGGACAAGAAGTGGAAAGATATTTCAAACCAGCACTGTTAGTACTGTTTTTTCTCTAGTTCTGTTCTTTCTATTTCTGTTCTTCTTTAAGCCTTTTTCTGTTCCAAACAGTGAATAAAACTCTAAGCTTTAATACATTTCATGTTGACAGAATGAAATTCTCATCACTTCTAAAATTCCCATTAAATTCAACACATCTGGATTCTTAGTGTCTAAAAAAATTTGGTTCCAAAGAGTTAAAAGCTGAGTGTGGATGTTGTTAACACAGGTTGAGAAAGATTGATTAGGATTGATCTATATCTTCTTGATAATGTGTTTAGCCAAATTCCCCCTGGTTTAATCCACTGTCGATAGGAGTGTGTGCCAGCAGAGATCCCCCAGATCAGTGTACAGTACGCTTGCTAATGATTTTGCTTGGAAAATACAAGGCCAAAATTTTAACCTCAGCTCTATGACTCACTAATACCAAGAAAAATCCGCTATTTCTTTGCTTAATCACATTGCAGCAGATAAGTCTTGTAGTGGATGCTACTTGTGGGGAGCCAAATTCTTCCAGCCTTGCACAGGTGGATGGGAAGTTGTCTTCAGGGTGGAATTTGGCCTTTGAGGATGGCATTGGGGGCCCCCATCTGTGTGTTTCTGCTGCCTTTACCAACTCAGCTTGGTAGCCTCAGCTTTGTGAGGCTCTGGGGGGCCTTCACAAGACCTCAACATCTCTGTTACTTGTGAATGTTCAGGGTTACTGGTAGGTTCTTCTCAGAAAAAGCTGTGGGGTGAATACTACCATTCTAGTTAAGTGCTCTTCATTTAGAGTCAGGAGGGGAAATTACATGTCTGCGAAGGAAAATCATACCCTTCCTGTCCCTGCTCAGAAAAGCGCTTCATTAATTTTTAGCGCAGCAGTTGTGTTAAGGATTCATAATGTACGGCTCAATTGTTGCCAATAGTTTTCTCCTAAACTAATAGTTGCCTTATTTCTGTAAAGGCTGATGGAAATCAAGCTTGGGACCATGCAAAATTCATTCCTCAGCAGAATGTTCTAAAGAAATCCAGAAGAGAAATTGGTCTGTGTCTTAAAAATATCTGTGTGTGAAAGCTGCATGCAAAAAGGGCTGTCAGTTTGCAGCAAATTCATGAAGCGGAGATGTTAAATTCAGAGTATAGAACTAGTAGATTCAGTCTTTTTGTAAAGTACTGCTTACTGCCGAATACAGGTTTTTTTAATTTCCAACCCAGGGTCATATGCAGTATTTTTTATGTTGTTCACTGATGGGGGTGGGGATGGGGGGAGAGGACATCATTCTGTATGCTCACTATCACTGTATCTTTCTTTTAAAAAAAGGTTTTGTTAATGGAACTTAATACTAGAATTCAAAGCACAGCAGAGCTAAAAAGCAGCTGTGCTTTTAAATGATCAAAAGCACTGCAGAGTTAAAGGCTAAATGTCATCTTTTCACACATGTGCAAGTCAGAAATAATGGGATTAAACTCAGTAAGGCAAGCCTGTCTGGTGCTGAGCCCCCTCTCCCGTTGGTACGGGGCACTTGGCTGTTGTGCAGAGCCCTCCTGGTGCCACCTGGCTCTGCACTGTCTGGAGTTGGGGCCACTGTGTTCGGTCTCAGCTGCCCATGGAATTGAACTTCAGGTGTGTTGCCTCAGTGGAGGGGGAACAGCCTTCATTATGTTCTCTTGAAGCTGTGACACACAGGAGGTCCTGCCCTTACAGTATAAATACATCCCAGCCCTCCTTCAGTAATTTGGAGGGAGGGTCAATTCTGCCAGAAAAAAATATCCAGATGTTACTCCAGGCTTAGCACCTCTGGGCAGGGACCAGGTAATAGCAAGGTTGAGCCAGATAGTTGACATGCAGCTCTCGATGCATCACACAGCTGTCTTGTTTGGGGTGGGTTTTTTCTGTGTTAAACTTGCTAATGCTACGGAGCAAGCCATGGTCTGTGCTGTGTGGCAACGTGTAATGGAGTATTTATTTTCCCTTGGCAGGTTCATCAGTTTGAGCTCTCATCTAGTCAAGATGTGCTGCCAAAAAGGAGAAAGATCAGTGAACCAAAGGAGCAGTTTTAGATAGCCATCTCCCCTGCTGTTTGTTTATAGAGTTCTTCTCCGTACCACTTCCATTTTGTTGTTTAATGTGAATGTTCATATTTAAATATCTTTTGGGGATATTTTCTGTTCTATTTGTAGTCAAAATGGAGGGTATTTTAAGGAAAGAAAATCTGTCGAGAAGCCCAGCTGAAGAAATCAGAACTTATTTTTTATAGGAGGTCGCACCTCATCAGGAAAGAGAGAAGGTACCTGACTACTGATGTAATTGAGAAAATTTCTGTTAACAAAGGTGACTTGGGAGGTTTTGACTCCCTGCTTATAGTGTTTTTAAATCCTGATGGTGATTGTGTAATGTTCATCACCCACAACACAAGGTTTCATCAGTAACTTTGGGCTGTATTTCAAAAAGCTGAGGAACTCCTTGTCCAGAACCTGCCTTATGGGGCACAAAACCCCTCAAGTCTTGGGTTAATTTCTAGAGCTTTACATGGCAGGTTGAGGAGGGCTCTGTTGTCAGTTACAGCAATATTACATTTTTTGCTTTTACTACTGGAACAGTTAGGGGGGCTTAATTCTTTGCATTTCTTCCAGACTGAAGGCAGCAGACCAGTTTGTAAAAAACCAAACATTCTTCATACCTTGAATTACATATTTCATGCCAGAATGCAGGAATTTCTGTACAGCTGTGATAAAACATATGTAATTACAAAGTCTTAATCTGTGGCAGGCATCTGTGAGATTATTTGAAGAACCCACATGTAGTTAAAATGATTAATTGCAGAAGTTGGACATGGGGCCATTTCTTTTTCTGACAAAAAAATGTTAATTTTTCCTGTGCTGTAAATGAATTGGACTGAAGCTGTTTCTGCATGGCAAAGAGCTGCTGCTGTCTTTAGGTGGGAATAGCTGAACATTTCTTGACATTTCTGACTTCTAACTTAAGAATGTCTTTTTATCATCCCTCAGTTAAAACAATGTTAACATTTAGTTGCTGTGTATTTCTTTACAGCGTGGATTGGCGTGCATACGTTTGGGGGCTTTAATGAAATGCGGGTAATACTTGGGAGCTCTAGATCTGTAGGCCGCGGCTCCTTGGTCTTGTTCCAGCTGCTGGTTCTCTGGGGCTGACCCTGTATGGGATGATCAGAGCAGGGGTGTGTGGGCAGCAGGTCGGAGCGAGGCAAGAGCGAATTTGGCAAAAAAAGTTGAAACGGGGCTTGTTGGTGGAAGCAGCTGTGCGGGGCAGGCACTTGCCGAGGATGCGGGTTTCTCTTGGGATCATCGCATTGAAACGGATCCCTGCGATTTAATTGGTGAGGACTGCTGGTGCCTTGGGCTGGTTCAATGAGCTTGGCTGTGTGACTGTCGATTAACGCATTTATTTCTATAGGCTGAGAGAGTTGGGGTTGTTCAGCCTGGAGAAGAGAAGCTTCTGGGGAGACCTTACAGCAGCCTGCCAGCACCTAAAGGGGCCTACAAAGGGGCTGGAGAGGGACATTTTACCAGGACAAGGGGTAATGGCTTTACACTGAAAGAGGGTAGATTTATATTAGATGTAAGGAAGAGATGTTTTACGATGAGGGTGGTGAGGCACTGGAGCAGGCGGCCCGCAGAGGCTGTGGATGCCCCTTCCCTGGCAGTGTTCAAGGCCAGGCTGGATGGGGCTCTGAGCAGCCTGCTCTAGTGGAAGGTGCCCCCTCCGCCATGGCAGGGGGGGTGGAACTCGATGATCTTTAAGGTTCTTCCACCCCAAACCGTTCTGCGACTCCACAGCCGAGAGCTGCCCCGTCCTGCCGCCCCCTCGCCCGGCTCCGCGTGCAAAGCGGCGGGGTGCGGGGGGGGGGGGGGGGCCGGCAGCCCCTCCGGTCGCGCCGCCTTCCTCCCCAGGAGGAGGAGGGGCGGTCCCACCCCCGGCCGCTGGCCGCGCTCATTGGAGGCTGCCGGCCGGGCGGGCTCCCATTCGCCGTCGCCGCGGGCGGGGCGGGGTCCCCGGAGCGGAGGAAGCCGCCGGGGCCGGCAGGAAGCTTTTCCTGTCCGTGGCCCCGAAGTTCGATCGCCGGGGGAGGAGCGGGGGCGGGTTGAGAAGGACCCGCCGGGCAGGGGTAAGGTCGGGGGAAACATGAACCAAAACAAGGGGTTTGTTTCTCAGCCCTGAAACTCTCGGGGGACGGACGGACGGACGGACGGACACACGAGGGCACGGCCGTGTCCCCGTCGCCCCCCGGCCCCGCTTGCTGTTTTTGCACATTTCGCAGGGGAAAAGTTGTGAGGTCTTGGTTTTTTGCACATTTCGCAGGGGAAAAGTTGTGAGATCTTGTTACTGGTGCGTGGGCTGTGGGGTGCTCGCGGGAGGTTCGGGGTTGGCAGCGTGGGAGCGCGAACCCGAGTGTGCAGCTCGTTATAACGTCCGTGAAAAGGCGAGTGTCACCCGCGAGCGGGTCGCCCCGGGGGGAGGTGGGAAAGAGCCGTGCCAAGGCAGGCGCTGCTTCTGCATCGCCCTGGAACCGAGCCGGGTGTCCCACGTCCCGTGTGGGTGCGGGACCTCGTCTCTGTTGTGGGCACACGGTCGGGAGGTCCCTTGGGTGCAAGGACTCGGCTGTGGCTCAGATCTGCCCTGATCTCCTTGAATGTACATTCATCTCCTCCAGCGTCTCAGGCAACGAACGAACAGCCGCTCACTATCAGTGACTCTTGTACGGCCATCCTGGGAGGGGTGAGCTGAAAATTCCTGGGTAGAAGGGACGAGTGTCCCTTGTCCTTGTCTGTGCCTCCCTGGAGCCTGGGTTTTGGGGCTTGGAGCTTAGCACTGTTGCAGTCCATAGTGTTTAGAAACAGGGCAGACCTCTGTTCTCTGTGTGCCCAGCCGGAGAGGGAGATGACGACGCTAACGCACCGAGGACGGCGTGCTGAGGCAGGAAGGAACTTGGACAAGAAGCCTGACAGTGAGGAAGATGCGCCTGCGGACAGAGACCTGAATGACGATGATCCCGGCGACTTCAAAGATATCCGCCTCACGCTCATGGAGGAGGTGTTGCTCCTGGGGCTGAAGGACAAGGAGGTAAGGCAAGGCAGGTGTCTGCGACAGCTGCATGTGCAGCGGTGGCAGCACTGCCTTGGTGTACCTGGAGGTGAAGTTCTCAGTGTGCAGCAGAAGGGATCGTACGAGTTCCTCTGAATTCTGTTCAACAAAGCCTGCCTGCTTAGCGCAAACCACCTTCATCTGTAGCTTAAACTGAGCTGTGGTGATTGCTTGCAAGTGCTGTCCCACCAGCCCTGCCACAGGGACTGTAAGAAGCAGCTGGAGGCAAGGGGTGCCTTATGGTATTGCACAACTGCCATTTGCAGAAAAATGGTGGGTTTGTTCTTTGATGGGGTCAAAGACGTGGAGTAAAAGGAGCCTCACCTTGTGCATCAGATGGTAAATGTCCTCTTCCCTAGCCCAAGTGCACTTTCTTATCCAATACACAGGGACACTCTGAGCACTGTTTCTACTTTGTTAAAAATTGGTGTGAAAAATGGCAGGGGCAGGTTCTGAGAGAAGATGGCAAGGTGAGAGAAGGCAGCTGGACTGGGGGTTGAAAGCAGGTGCAGGATGGGTCTGAACACAGCAATGGCAAAGGAGGTAGGAGCCACGTCTCTGTTTTCAGGCTGGTAATTTCCTTAGCCGGGTGGGAATGGCGTCGTGCAGCTCCAGGCTTGAGGGGGTTGGGACTGGATGGGAATCTCTGCTGGGCATTTGTCTTACTCATGTGTGCTGGCTTTCCTTGGCAGCAGTGGACAAACTTCACAGCTGGTTATATTCAGGGAGTTGTTCTCTGCCGGAAAGGGACTCTGGTCAAATGGAATTGTTTTGTGCTTATCAGCCAGTAGGAACTTGTTTCTCAACTCTGCCTAGAACGAGCTGGGGGGAAGGGAGAAGACATCTTGTGTCGAGTTCTCTGAGCTGCTTGGCTCTTATCTACTGTGTTGGCATGCCTTGTCTTCTTTAGTGCATGCATCATCTTGATCTCTTTGGGGGAATCTGATGCTGCTATTCCTGTCAAGCAGATGGGGAAATCTAGACCAGGGAGAGCTAACCAGTTGCCCAAGGTACTTCTTGGGATGATAATGGGAGAGGAGAGCCTTAAACACAGATTTTTCAGCTCCAGGAGCACTCTTCCTCTGAGCCTGTCTCCCACCCTGAGGAAAGGAGATGCTGTGGTTGTCAAAGCTGTGGTAGATGGGCCACCTTCTCTTTATCTGTTTCTCTGGGTTGAAATTAAGCCCCTGTGAGGTGCCTGAACTTTTTTTTCCATAGTGCCCTGCTACTGCTGAGTTAGTCTGAGCTGGTGCCTTGCTCTCACATAGACCTGCTCAGGCCATGGCTTCTGACGTGGACCACAATCACAGATCCGGCAGGGAAGAGATGTGGGTTGTGTGAGTTACAGAGGCTTGTAGCTGTCCTGTTTAACAAACCCAGATAAGATCTAAGACTTGCTGGGCTGAATAGGAAGTAACAGGATGTAAGAGTCGGGTGGACCGTGACACAGGAGAGCAGGGCTGTAAAGAGAACATCACGCAAATAATTTTGGAGCAAATATTTGAGAGCAGCCTAGGAGCGTGGCATGGTCTGCTTTCTTCCTGGGCTATGTTTAGCGTTCTTGGCTTGGTTAACGTATTCCTGGGAATGGTCCTTCAGCCACCTGGAAGTTATGAGAGCACAACACATATGAAGAAAACTTGTCACACTTTCCTCCCCCCACCCCCGTCTCCCCATTCTGTCCTTCTGTGTTCCTCTATCTCAAAAAGAACACCAGAGGCAGCAGTAGCCTGGCCGTGAGCTGGGCTCCCAGGTACTGGGTTTTCCCAGCCCTGTTGTTCATTCATGGTTTGATGATTGGGAAAAAAAAACAAGACAATTTTAGCCAAATCCAATGAGGTCACACTGTAATTTCATTATTTTAAGTACCAGCCTGTCCCCCTAGGAGAAACTGGCTGCACGCCAGCCTGGCTTTTGTAACCAGTCTGATTCCAGAAGCTGAAAGTAACCCAGGAGCTTTCAACTTGTTTGATTTCAGACCTCTTAAAATTTTCTAGGGGTAACGTGCCTTCCAGCCCAGTAAATTGAAACTTTCAGCCACCTCCACACCCTTTTCTGGAGAACGTGTTTGTAAAGGGCGAGTGCAAAAAACAGTGTGTCTCCTATGGACAGAAATCAGCAGGAGCGGGATGAAAGGTTGCTTTGTCTTTCCTCACAAGGAAATGAAGAAAGCAAATAAAGATTTTCATTTTTTTATGGTTCTCTGCTATGCAAGCTGAGCAACCCGGTATCCAGATGCACTGTATAAACAGACACGCTGGGGACAAGAGTTGACCCGTGCAGACTGTAAAAACTTCCATGTAGGAGGGCTACATATTTTCAGCCTTTTTTCCTTAGGAACGGGGTGTGTTAGGTTGCTTTGTCTGGAGACTCCTGGTAGCTTTTAGACCTGCCCTTTCTCTCCTCCTACCCACTCCCTCCAGAGAAAAAGAGCAACGAAAAGGGAGTTACGAACGGGCTGTAGTGTTTCTGGTGTATTGGCGTCCCCCTGCAAACAAGCACATTGTGACTTTGCATCCTGCTTGGCTCACCCTTCCGTTGGGCCCATCTCAAACCCCAGCACCTGCCCCATTCCCAGCCCTGCTGCCTGCATGGACAAGCCTCTCCTTGCAGCCCTGCCTGCTGTCTGCTTGCCCTGAAATCCAAGGACTGCTGCCTTGCGTCTGTGCCACAATGCAGCAGTCATTGGGCTGGAACAACTGGGCTTTGTTCTAATCAGGGGATAAAAGACGAGTGGAAGAAGGGAACGGAGAGGGCGACTAGGCTGTCCCATTGCTTCAAGCCAAGGTTATCTGTCTCCCGAGAAGCATCAGTTGAACGTTCTTAAACCTCAAGGGACAGAGACTTCCCTTCCCTGCCCCCTCCCTCCAAGGGCAAATCGTTCCTGGGCTTTCTTGTCCAGATGGTTATTTCTTCCTGGTGCCAGCTCCAATCTCTCTGGCTACAATTTTAGCCCAGGACTCTGTCCCATGCACAGTGGAAGTGGGAACTGGCCATTCCTTTCCATTCTGCTGCTGCCTTTTATGTGTCTGACCCCCCTTACCCTATTCTCCCTCTGTCTTCTCTTCCCTGGACTGAAAACCCCGATTCAATTGCTGGTTCCCTGTGGGTCATACTTTCCAGACCTCTGCACCTTCCTGTTGCTTTGCTGAATGCCTTAACAATTTTGGAGTTTGTGCTTCTTGGGGTGAGGACCCTGTCCCATGGCAGGCTCAGAGAACAGGGCTTGGGGCCAGGTGTGGAATGTGCCAAGTCCAAGCAGATCTGGTCGGCAGTAGTCCTAGTGCTGCACTGCTGGTGGGACCCAGACTGCTGCACCCCAGTCCCAAGGTGCCCACTCTGGGGGGGAGAGGTGGGATGTATTTTCTTGTCCTTCATCCCTGACTGGAAATCTCTTGCAGAAGTCTGCAGGTGGATTTGAGCAAGGGACTGGGGAAGCTCTTGTGCCCTGTGGTGGGAACAGGGGCTTGCTGCAGCCTGTGCCCTGTGGGACAGTGCTGTGGGTAGCAGGGAAACTCTTCTTCACAGTACTGATGAGCGTTTTTTTCGTACAGCTAATGACTCTCAGGGCACACCTGGAGCTAGTGGGGGCTTTCTTCAAGGAGAAGAGCAGATTTTGCCTCCTGTTTCCCCTGGGCATGTCTGCAGCAGGTGCTGAGGCAGGGCAGAGCAGAGCTCATGTCGCTGGTTGCAGCCTCACGGCAGCAGCAATGTCCTGTGGCCAGGGGCTTGCCAGGGGAAAAGGCCCCACTTTTCTCATTTTCGTTTGGATTTTTTATGATCCAGGGTTGGGTGCAGCTGCCTGGCCAGCACTGGGGTGTGCCGGATGGTTGTGGGTGCAGTGGGAAAGGCACAGCCTGAATTGCTCAATGTTTACAGGGAGGTTTTGGGCAGGGAGGGGGTTAGTTGGGGCTGCCAGGCACTTTTCACCTGGTAGGGAAAGTCCTTTTCTCCCTTTGGCCTGGGAGGCAGAGCTGTTAATGGGAGTTAGGAGAGTCACCTGGGCAGGGCCAGAGCTGTCCAGGAGGGGTGGAGGGCTCAGTAGAGTTCCCCTTCCCATCTCTCTTCTCCCCTTTCTGTCCATCCTCTCTCCAAGGGCTACACCTCCTTCTGGAATGACTGCATCTCTTCAGGCCTGCGAGGTGGTATCCTCATTGAGCTGGCTCTGCGTGGCCGGATCCGCCTGGAGCCGCTCTCCATCAGGAAGAAGAGACTGCTGGAGAGGAAGGTGAAGGTGCTGCAGGAGCTGGGCTGGGGGCCTGATGGGCTTCAGGGCTCTGTCCACTCCAGCTGAGCCCTCTGGCAGTAAGCTTTGCTGAAGCAGTGCTGCACGCCAGGGCAGGTGCCATTCCTTCAGGAAGGGAGCAGTAGGTCTGCATCCAGCCTTACGCCATGTTTCCACTTTGTCCTTCCAGGTGCTCTTGAAGTCAGACGCGCCAACTGGTGATGTCTTGCTGGATGAGACCCTCCGACACATCAAGGCCACGGAGTCTGCAGAAACGGTGCAGACCTGGATAGAGCTGCTCACTGGTAGGGCCAGTTAGAGACGCCATCTCCCCAGCTCCCTCAGGGCCTGTCCCTGCCACCTGTCCCCTCTCCATGGCTTGGTCATCCCCTCACTTCACTGGAGATGGGCAGGATATGGACAGCAGAACAGGGGAAGGCTGAATGTAGGGGCAGAGAATGGTTTTCTGGGTCTTTTTTGTTAGGAGCTTGGTGGAACACTTGGACCTCACTCCCCATTGCCTCTTTCTTCATGCTGAGTCTTCACTGAGTCTGGGGTCCAAGGTCCTGGATAGAAGGGGCTTTCCAAAGGGATCTGCCCCAGGCTGCTGTGCCCTGTGGCCATGGAGAGCTTTGCCAGCTTGGACTGATGGGAGAAGTGGGTCAGAGTCAGGCCAAGGGGGGAAGGAGGGTTCCTGCAGCAGGGACTGGTGTCTGTGAGAGCACAGATGGTCCTGGGCTGGAAGCAGCCTGGGCACTGGGGTTGGGTGGCAAAGCTGTCGCTGCCCCAGCGTTGAACGGGGTCTCCTCTCCTGCAGGGGAGACCTGGAACCCCTTCAAGCTGCAGTACCAGCTGAGGAACGTGCGTGAGCGCATCGCCAAGGCGCTGGTGGAGAAGGGCATCCTCACCACGGAGAAGCAGAACTTCCTGCTCTTCGACATGACCACCCACCCTGTCAGCAACGCCACCGAGAAGCAGCGCTTGGTGAAGAAGCTCCAGGAGAGCATGCTGGAGCGGTGGGTGAACGACCCCCACCGCATGGAACGCAGGACTCTGGCTCTCCTCGTGTTGGCCCACTCCTCAGATGTACTGGAGAACGTTTTTGCCAGCCTGGCAGATGACAAGTACAATGTGGCAATGAACAGGACCAAGGACCTCCTCGATATGGACCCTGAGGTGGAAGCTGCCAAAGCCAGGGGCGCAGAGATGATCTGGGCTGTCCTGGCAGCCTTCAATAAGTCCTAAAAAGCCCCTGAACCCCCCAAACCAGCTGGGTGGCCTCACCCTCTCGATGTGAAGCCAGGTGTATAGGGGCATGGAGTTCCTGCAGCAGCGGGTGGGCTCAGGTTGGGGGGACCAGGAGGTTTTGCTCTCCCCCCCGGGCAGGGGTGGGAGAGTGAGAGCCCACGTGTGTGGGCAGGTCTCGCACTCCTCCAAAAACTGGTGCCTCTGGGGAGAGGTGGCCGTGCTTCTTTGCTCCCCTTCCAGTGCTCCTTGCCCATAGGCTTCCTTCTCAGGCCAGTGCAGAGCTGGGAGGTGGCAGAGCTCAGCTCTGCCTCTGCATGCAGGAATCAAGCCACTCAGATGGGCCAAACCCCAGCAGAAATGGGGCTGTGGAGCGGCCTGTGCTCCCTGTGCACAGGCTTGTGTGGCTATCTCTATGGCTCCCTGTTCCACACACAGGTCTTGCCTCTGAGCTGCCCGGGCAGCACAGATTCCCCTATGGAGCATGCTGACGTCCTCGTGGTACATGGTATGGCCAGGGGAGCAGGCAGGGGTCTGGTTCAGAGGGTTCTGGCAGCTGGGACCACCCCATGCTGGGCTGGCACAGGGCAGCCCAAAGCCCTCGGTGCATGTTGCCATTGAGGAGCAGCTCTGCAAAGACCGTGGAGCCCTGCCCTGGGCTGTGCCCCGTCGCACACCTGCTCCTTCTAGTAAGAGGAAAAGTTAAACTGTGAAAAAAAATTTTTCTTTTTCTTTGTTCTCCCTTCCCCTACCACTTTAATCTCCTGTAGTTCATTTAAATGTTATTTCTCTACTGCCCGAGGGAGTCCTGGGTATTTAAATCCGTCTTCTGTAGTTGCAGTGGGTGCAGCTGCCCGTTCTGGTAACAGGGGTTGCATCTGAAGGGGCTCTGGCATGGCAGAGGGGGTCCTCCGGGTTCCCAGAGGTGCTGGTGGCACTTGCATCGTGAACTTGCCGGGTGGTCTCAGCTGCTGCTGCCTGCCTGCACCCAGCCGGGGGTCTGCAGGCAGCCGGGCCGCGTGCCATCTCCCGTCCCGCTTCTTGTGCGGCCTGGGGGGCACCTTGGGCCTGGGGGGCACCGGCGAGGTGCCATCACCCCGGGATCCATTTGCCTCCCTGCGTGCCCGTCCCCTCCCGGCCCTCCGTCTGCCTCGGCTGCCCGAGGGCTGTCCCTTTGCATCTGGATGCTGCCAGAGGGTCCCCAAAACGCGTGGGTGGGGGAGGGGGTCCTCCTCGCACAGACGCCTCTCCCCGCCCCCCCGCGACGGGGCCGGAGCGGTGTGTCTCCGGGGGTCACAAGCGCACACGCAGCCGCCTCCTGCCGCCCCCCCGGGGTCCTTGCTGCCTGCAGGAGCCG